TCATCAGACTAATTCACTTACAACGTCCACCTTTGACTTGCACGTTCTCTTCTCTACACTCGCTTGCTTTTGCTGACCTTAACAAGAAAGTGGTCATGCTTTTCGTTGCCAATAATAAAAGAATTTTCAATTCCTGGTGATGGGATTAATTCATTTTCAACGTCATCCTTTGACTCACATGGTCTCTTCCGTACACTTGCTTGTTTTTTTTACTTACTTTAACAAGAAAGTGGTCTCGCTTTTCATTGCTCATAATAAAAGAGCTTTCACTTCCTCGTCTTCCGGCTAATTCATTTACAACGTCATCCTCTGACTCACATGTTTTCTTCCGTACACTCGCATGCTTTTGCTTAGTTGAACAAGAAAGTGGATAAGGATGCAGGTAGTTGTTGAGACACTTTATCGAGCAAAAGCTGTGTAATCTTACTCGCAGCACTCATTCTCGTCAAGTAGCGTTCAAGAAACAAAATATTTCTTCTACGCACGGATAATAAGAATTATGCGCGTGCAGATACGTGTTTCTTCCCCTTCTTTGTTCTCACACGCTGCTATGTATCACACATCAGTAGAACACACCAAGATAAATTTATTCTCACATCATTCAAACCCTATTTCAAATGACTCATATTGCTCTCATAGAAAGAGTAAACACATACTACTGATAATGAAAACTGTATAGCTGCGCCTAGGAGTGTTGGAATGAGCTGAAACTTTTACCATATTTAGTTCATGACTACCTCTTTAGATGCACAAAATATCAGCTCTATCGAAGCTCCCATCTCGGAGCACACTCATACGTAATAATGGCAAATTTCGAAAAATCTTCCAAATTTTTGAAAACTATGGAAGCCGTTGAGTGATATAGCTCAAACTTTCAGTGAAGCATGGCCACTATGACTAGTGGTCACGGTAAAAATATCACGCCTATCGAACGTTGTTTGACTGAGAAATCAAACATTTAGGACCAAAATCGCGTTTTTCGATCAAAACTTGAAATAGGCATAACTCCATCCCAAAGTACCATGGACACAAACCAACTTAGGATATTTCACTACTCACTGAGGCCTACAAGATGCAAGTAGTCCGAGCTCAAAAGCGATTTATAGCCTCAAGAGGTTCCCTCGTTAGTGTGAAAGAAAAATTCAAAAAACAAATTATTTATAGGCTTGGTAGTACTAGGGCTAAACTAGAACAAATATCATTTTTTATGACAGCATTTGATTTATTATTTGAAAAACTGAAAAATCTAGTTCAATTTAATTTAATTTTATACCGTGAACAACAATCACCATCGGCAGAATGGTTACAAACAATACCAATGTTTGAAAAATATTATATCACAACAAATCGAGGACGACTATCTGTTTGAGTTTAACAGACTCTCATTCCTATTCTTACTCTTGAAACAAAGTCTCCTCAGATATTAATTGAATAGAAACTGTTATTTTACGTAATATTGTACATATAGGTATTTATTTATCTCAGCATCTTTGCATTAGACACTCAGAAGATCCGTTGGTGGTGAATAAGTGATTGTTTATGAAGTATTCAAAAGAAAAAAGACGACGATTATTACAGCTTATTTATCGAAAGCGTCCATCACTGAAGTTAACTATTATGTACAACTCAATCAAGCATTAGCATCATGCAGATTCCTAACACAGCAATGATAGAGCCATTTCTATTGGAATCCTCTTACATTTTCAATCGATGTTACTGAACAACTAGAGCATTTCAGAATATAAAGATTTTAGGCTGGAAAAGGTTGTTTTTTCAAAGCAAATTTCAAAAAATTCACATCGTTTTTTTTTACCTACAACTTTCATTTATTGAGTTGAGCAACCGATTTTGAGCTATGACGTTTGTCCTCACATTTTCTCACTGATAAATACTAAGTTCTTATTCACGCTACCAGGTGTGTAGGAGTCATACCGCGAGAAATACAGTTGACTACAAAGATGGTTTAGCCTATGCTGTGAAGCATATAAACCTGGTATGTAATAGTTTCTTTTGTGTTGAGCAATAGAAAGCTAAATAAGATTTCCTATTATAGAGAATTGTTTGTTGTATCAGAGTACATAATCGAATGAATTCGCAAGAGTTGCCTTGAAAATTAAATGATTTTCTCTGCTATTTAATGATATATCAAGCCTTTTCCTCTGTGAGCTAGTAGTACGAGATCGGTACTAACGAGGGAACATTCCCAAGTGACACACTCCGATTTCATTCGTTCGTACGTCGATCGATAGAGGATAGTGAGCTAGTAAAAAGCCTAAAAGCATTCGTGCTCTTGGCTCCTGAAGACCCGGTTTTCTGGCAAACCAGTTTTTCAGAAACTTTAAAAAATAACCAAAACCTTTTCTTAATAGTGCATGATTGTAGCTCGCACATTTCTGATTAAAATGAGACGTTTCCCAGCTCTACATGACCTTTCTTTGCAAAGTTATAGAATTTACAAGAAAAGCCCTAAATTAATTTCTTCTTATTTCCTTAGCTTTGAGCTGACAATGAACATTTAGGGCTTTTCTTGTAAATTCTATAACTTTGCAAAGAAAGGTCATGTAGAGCTGGGGAACGTCTCATTTTAATCAGAAATGTACGAGCTACAATCATGCATTATTAAGAAAAGGTTTTGGTTATTTTTTAAAGTTTCTGAAAAACTGGTTTGCCAGAAAACCGGGTCTTCAGGAGCCAAGAGCACGAATCCTTTTAGGCTTTTTACTAGCTCACTATCCTCTATCGATCGACGTACGAACGAATGAAATCGGAGTGTGTCACTTGGGAATCTTCCCTCGTAAGAGAATAATCTCAATATTGACGTCGTTTCAACAGGTCAATGATAAATCCACAATCGACTAAGATATACTATAATTGTTTTACTGTTACGTCTTGCAGTGAACATTTCGTTCCCACAACGTTTTACGTAACCACAAATCAGTAGTTTTAACAAAGTAGTGGTTTAGGAGTATTTTGTACATATTTGACTAATACTGTATCACTTACAGTGGATTAATTCAATTTACAAGCTCATGATATGGGGTAATTTATTGTCGAGTTCTGAAACGTGCTTTTTCTTAGATTGAACTATTGATGTTTTTCTGTGGACAAGTGTAAAATCAACTAATGGGATTGATTTTATCGTAGTGAAGGGAGATTTATTTGGGAATATAGGATGTTTCTCAATTCTTTTTATGATAGGATGTGAACCTAAGCGAAAGTCTTTTACTGTGACAGTAGTTTTGATTATATCGGATTTATTTTGACATAATTACTTTGTTTTTATTCGTTTCTATAATTGCCTGTTTATAATTACAATTGTCATTAATACAACATTTAGGTTGTCATTGATAAAATTTTTAAGCCGTCAATTAATTGTATATTAAGAAGAGATGAGACATTTTTTGCGGCGACAAGAAGGTTTGTTGCCGAACTGAAATTGTAGACCGGTAATATTTTAATTAATCCGCATTGTATTATTAATGAATCTTACAGATTTCTCCTCCTACACTGTTTGAATATAATAGTTGTCAAACATGTTGAGAGTTGATGTGTCAGGTTCTGATACATCACTTTCTAACAATGACAGTGCATTATCTCAATCTGAAAAACGCGGATGATATTGATAGTCGATAACATTATTTCTGTTTTTGGAGAATATCGAGTGTGGTTAA